AGTTGTACACATGATTTGGTGACATACTGTAGCTGACTTTTTGTAACACAACTATAGTAGAAATAGTTTCATTTCAGACACCTTGTACTCAATGATAAATGATATTTCTTTTACACATTTCACAACACAGTGTTTTAAAGCAAGTTTCTTTCAAACACCAAAATTGTTTGACAAAATATGATTAAATATGTCAATGTGACATGTTTGCGAAGAAGATTTTTGCAGTGGTAGGATACTTTCATTAAAACACGAAAGCTTGTTTTGATTGTTGGGAAAGACATTTCATGTCGTAAGAAGTCTCACATCTTTGTAATGCATAGAAAATGTTTTTTGGTACACTATTTTCTAGTACTATGCTTCTTGAGTGTAATAGTCCTTATTTTTGAATTTTCGGTACCAAACCTTCACAGTGTCATATGATATAACATTAGTACCTAAAGCTGTACATATGATTTGTTGACATTCTGTAGCTTACTTTTTGCTACATATCTGGAAGTAAGTGGTGGTTCTAATCCGGTAGTGTGATAGTTCTCTTTCTGATACCTTGTACACAATGATATTTTAATACAATTCACAACACACTGTTCTAAAGCAAATCTCTTTCTTTGCCAAAAATTGTTTGAGAAAAAATATTAGTAATCCTTGTTTTGAGTCCTTGTTTGAGCCATAGCCCTTGTTTTTGAACTTTCAATATCAAACATTCACAGTCTCATATGATGCAACATTAGTACCTAAAGTTGTATGCATGTTTTGTTGACATTCTGTAGCTCCCTTTTTGTAACATATCTGGAAGTAAATGATGGTTCTAATCTGGTAGCATTACAGTTCCATTTCAGACATCTTGTACTTAATGTTAATGGTATTCACTTATAAATTTTACAACACAGTCTTCTAAAGCAAGTTTCTTTCTTTAAAATGCCAAAAATTGTTTGACAAAATATTATTAAATTTGCCAATGTGAAATGTTTGCGAAGAGGATATTTGCAGTGGCAGAATACTTTCCCTAAAACACGAAAGCTTGTTTTGATTGTTGGGATCATGTCATAAGAAGCCTCACATCTTTGTAAATGCATGGGAAATGTTTTCTGGTACACTATCTTCAAACTCGACACTGTGTAGTAAAGAATCATATGCATTTGACTTAACTGGCAATGATTTTTTACACTCATTTTCATTAACATTTTGAACTTCTTCATCATCATCAATCGCTGTCCTGGCTGCTATTGAAAAGTATCTTCATATATGAGTAGGATGTAATATGAGGAGGAGTTATAAAGATGATGCAATCCACTTCTGTGCCTTTTTCATATCAGCCTTATTTCTTTTCTTCTTTTTCATTTCTGTATTCAAATACCTCAAGCGTATAAATGTTCGTGTCTTAACATATATTTTAATGATTTCATTATGCACATCAGGAAACTTTTGTGCAATTTTTTTACACATAGTTTGCATAATGTTATTATTTCTTGAAAGACCATCTTTCCCATGTTCACTTACAAACACTACTTCAAATTGACTTATTTTTTTTTAACCATTCCTCAGATGGAACAAGTAAACCACCACGAGAAAGCGTTTCTATCCAACCAACGTGTTCATCTGAAGGCAGATGGAGCAATTGTTCTGTAGGTGTTCCCAAAGAATGGTCATATTTTCTTCCACGGTAGGCTATGTAGCCTGCAAGGTACCGAAAACCCTCTACAGAGCAGTCAGCTGCAGGTTCACTTGCAAGGGTCAATCTAGAATTATCAAAAACAATATCCCTCATCTCAGTTTCACACCGTCTAACATCTTCAGAGCTTCAGTCATGTCAGGTAAAATATTACCAAAAAAGTTGGAAGTAATGTATGCATCTTCCTCCTCATCAGGAGCAACAGAAGATGTGTTAGAAAGTGAAATCTGGTAGGAATTATTAGTTAACAATAAAAGACGCATTCGATACTTCACGTCTACGGGCAGTGGATGATCATAGAAATGGCCAAGACCGCGGATTCGGGAAAAAAAATTTTCCAGGCAATCTTGATTTAGTCTGGAAGTTAAAAGGTATTTAACTCCTAATTGTTTCAAATCAGAAAATAACCCCAGCAGTGATGTAATCGACATCATAAATCCTTTCTGAAATGGTAATAGGTGCTTTGCCTTGCCCACTCTCATGTCTTCACAAAAAGCATAAAATTTCTTTAAGGTTCTCTCCTGGATTTCTTCATGTATCCCATACGCACAAGATAACACTGTATCAGAGACAGGTTTCCTGGAGTTAAGAATATCAAATGAATTATTCACTAATTCAAAAAAAAATTGCAGTTTCCTCTTCTCTTCTGGTATAAGATAGCGGATACCTTGTGCAGTATGGTTTGAAAATAACTGCGCAGCTAAATGCACACGCTGGCGTTCATTACCTTTAACAGAAATGTGACTTACGGACAACTTTGGGCAAATTTTCACTTCTTTGCAATCCATCGATATCAATCTTTCGATAGGTTCTTTTGTAATTAATTTATTTCCCGGAAGCATTAATCCGTCATCCAAAAAGTGATTACGAAGAAGTTTCAAAAGGTGTGGCACATCAGCAAACACCCACACACGTTTACTAGAGTCCTGGGGATGTGAAAAGCTGCTGTTCAGATGAGTAATCTGAAGTTTTGTCCACACAGCACGATTTCTACCACCCAAGTCAGCTACAGCTGCAACTACATAATATCCAATTTCTGCTAATGTTATTATTATATCTTTCAATATTTCTGCCGTCATTTGCGTATCAAAGTCGAAATATATTGGCTGCTTCCAGCTTGCAAGAAGTCCTCGCACCATTACTACTTGAACATTTCTATGTGGGCCAACAATCTTATCTTCTGCTTGGTCATAACAGATTCTACTATCCACGTTCATTTCATCGAATGAAAGAACACACATACATTCTTTGTCTGTCATCTGTAATGCCCCAGCACGCATAACATGAATTACATCGTGTAGCAAACCAGGAGAACAGCGAAATGAACAAGATACCCATCTCTTCAAAGTCGAAATGCTAGGAAATGGAAATCCCATTTTTTGTCTGAGATAGTTATAGCATCTTTTGGATACTGCCCTAAGTGTTGCAGATTTGCAAATGTCATCTGCATTCCACTTAACATATTTTTTATTTGACATGAGAAAGCGAATTTGATTGTCCGTAAAAATTGTCCCTAAAATTTTTTTAACTGCACTATGTACTTGTTTGCTTGTTACTTTCCTGCTCATTTTCTGATAGCTACGCAATTTTCTACGAGAAGCAGTAAGTTCAGTAAAAATAATTTTCTTTTGCATTTTCAATTGACTGCACAACACATTTAATCTCTTATTTTCCTTTTCTAAGATTTGCACACGCTCAACTAAATGAGATGTGTCACTGGATGTAAACTGAGTTGCACAGTCTATCTTATCAGCTTGTTTTTTTTTCTTTTTGGGGGAAAGGGAAGCTAAATTTTCCAATGCTCGTTTCTTTTCCTTGTTCCCGAGCCTGACACCTGCTTGCTCTATCCCTTTTTAGCATAAATTTAGATGACTCATTCCTGTTAGAAAACGTTCTCTCTCTCCAGATTAGGTTCAGTTTTTGAAGCACAACATATATACTTTATTGATGAGTTATTTTCACATAATAATGATGGAAGATGTAAAGTGAGACCAGCACTGGCCTTGAGCACCCTTTTAGGAGTTGAACTAAGCAATTCTGCCTTTAGATACGTACGTAGTCATCAGCTGTAAAATGAAGATGCATTTTCGATGTTGAAATGATCTGCTTTTTTGCAGCGAATTAGCCATAACTTACGAAGTTCTGGATCACTTGGAAAACGATGGTATGTGATGCCTTGACTTTTAGTTTTCCTTCTATAATTCTGACACAACGCTATAGCACAACTTGCCATTTCCGACTACTTATAAAAGCAAATTAATAACACAAATCAAATGTATCACAGATCAAATGCAACGAATGTAAACAAACGCCGAGAACTAACGACTGTCACCCACATGACGTCATGCGCAGGTGGCAAAATTTTCTCCCTGCACTACGCATCGCTCGTGGGCCCCCCCTGAAACATTATTGTATGTTATATATCTGGCAACAAGTATTTCGTTAAGTGTTTCAAACACCAGGTAGGCTGTAGTGTTTACTTAGTTATTACAATTTGAAAATGAACATTCTTTGACATTGTGGTAGATTCTCAAGTACAATTTTTTTTTTGTATAGTTTTATATGTTTTGGCTATATTTTGTTATTTTTAAATGCTATCAGTGACACTTTTGAAGTTTCTTATGTGGCGCAGCTATATCTTCAGAATTTTTCGTGCTTCAAAAGAATATTCGGTAAAAGTTTACAATTGGGTGCCCCTTGTTTTTTAGCGATTCTTTTTTGACGCCAAGATCGGCGCCAGGAAGGCACAATTCAAGATGGCCGCTATACAAAATCAAAATAAGAAGTCAAAGAATTACACAAACTCATGTGTCCATGTACACATCGATCTGTTTTCACTTAAAAAAAAAATCCTAGAATTGCACAAACTAGGCATCGCGCACTGGCTTAAATTTGTCCATGTACACATCAATCTATTAAATTTAAATAAAATCAGGAAGCTAAAACAAAGTTAAAACTATCATGGTAACCAGAAGTGAGGTTTCATCGTCGAAATTTGAAAAAAAATTGTCGCTAATCGAAGGGGCGCCAATTCTACACTAGAGCAGAATATTTTTATACATTTGTATAAGAGCCTGCCTTTTTATATTTCGCTAAAGTGCAGAATCGCCCAGTTATTTGTTTGGTGCTTTTTACAAGAGTAAGAAGAATTGAATTTTTGTCAATTTTCTTTGACTTTTTAAGTGAAAATAGGTCGATGTGTACATGGATAAAGTCAGTGGAATGCATAATGCCATTTTTGTGCAATTCTGGGATGTTTTTTTAAGTGAAAATAGGTCGATGTGTATATCGATACCGAGTATGTGCAATTCTTAATAACGCGTCAAGCAGTGGGCGATTCTGCACTTTCTCCTTAAATTTTTTGCGTTACAAAACAAATTTTCAAACATATATATAAAATATTTCAAGGCAGTTAGCACTAGAAGCTTTGACATAATCATATACAAACAAATAAAATATTTCATTAGTGTACAGACATTACAAAACAGTACCAAAATAGTTAATAAAATAAAATAAAGTTTAAGAAAAAGGTTATACTAAAAATGAAAGAGGTGAATAGCTAAGCATAAATGCAAATATAAAGAATAATGCAAGATTTATTCAACTGAGTGTTTTGTCAGGGGGATGGACCTAATTAATATGTGCAGAATTAAAGCATTTATTTTTGGAAATTCACACGGAATGTTACTTTCTTTATATATGTGATGATAACTTAGTTCATTAGATAATTTGATATTAGATGAGTGCTTGATTAGGGAAGACACTAGTTATTTTTCAAGTATGGCCAGAGTGTAGAAAGATGGAATTTAGCTCATAATAGAAGATTTTGTAGAGAAGTTGAAAATTTTAAGAATTTCAGAATCACTTGTTTAAGCATATCTTTATTACCTTACCTTTTTATTGTTCTATTAAGACATGTCTTATGCCATGGCATAGCACAATGGGGACAATCTGCACCTGTAATTTTAATTGTGACATACTACATTTTTAATAATGAATGGAAGTAGCCAAGTGAAGAGACGTCTTTTTTGAAAGCAAGCCTGGGTGGCAAAAAGAGGATGTGCAATAGTTGCAGTTGTATTTACGAGTTTGGAAAGTCCGAGTTCTATATAGCAACTGGGCAAAAGTTTGCAGCAGTGCAGAGAAATTGCAGGGAAAGAGTGAGGTCAGTGACACAGTATAGATGTGCTAAAGGGGGCTGCATTAGGAGAGGACTTAAAAAAGCTACTGCCAATTTGTTTCAGCTAAATTTAATTTTTTAATAAATTTCAAGCATATTTTTATATCTTAAGTATATATAAACAGGCATATACTAATAGTGGGCTGTAGCTGTTTATAGGCATTGGTCACTACTAAGGCTGGAAGCAAAGATAATTTTATTATGAAGGCATAGAGTAGGTGGGTTACTGTTGTCTTTATCAATAAAAAATTGTATATTTATGTGTATTTATATATATTTATGCCATATGTTTTCTTTTTCAAGAAGAAGATTGTATGTAAATATAGTTAAATAAACTGTAAAAGAAATTACAAAATGTTATAAAGCATAATGCACAACAAAATACTTAGGTAAAGTGGTTAAAAATATGTATCTTAATTACTTAAATCAAGGAACTTATCTGATGTAGGTTGTTACATATTAGTTTACAGCTGATCATCACCAGTTTCACAATAGCAATCTTTATCACCATAAAAACTACCTCCAAATCATCTGTAACCATATTCCAAAGATCCACCAAACTTATTAGTGTTAAATATTAGTTAATATAGTACAAAGTCCGCAATCCGGACATCCATTATCCGGAATGATCTGTAATCCGGACCAAAAAAGCCACAAACTTTTTTTTTTGTATGCTTTACGCATGCGCGTAAAGAATGCACATACATTACGTGCCCTACACTCCCACAGTCATAACACCTTGGTTCTTTACTCTTATTAGGTATAGCGCATGCTGTATTTATGTGTTAGTACTTGAATAACCCTTATTCATCGTATCTGGAACGTGGATTTTCTCATAAATTTTTATTTTCTCTTTGAATTCAGAAATAGTTTCACACCCATACAAAACAATTTTGTTACTATTCTGATCCAGTATCCTATTGATTACATAATCAAGAATTGGTGAATCATCAACAGAACCATGACTGGCTATTTAATGCATGGCAGTTAAATATTCGGAAAGGGATTCACCAGGTTTTAGTCTAAATGAACTGCATTTTTTTCTACATAGCACGATATTACCTGCATAATCAGAACAGCTTGGCTTAATGATTTGTTTCTCTAACCATTCCAAAATCTGTTTATCAATTTCATGCTGCTCTGTGTGTGTGTGTGGAGGGGGGGGTACGTCGCGGCACGCTATGAACTGGAAGTTGATCTGTCAGCACTATCTCATCTTCAGGGCAGATGTTTTATTTTATTCGGCTTATAATTCCTTACTAAATGTAGTATTTCATCTCGATGTACTCCGTCTTTTAAATCAGTTTCTGGTCTTTAAATCAGTTTCAGTTTTAAATCAGTTTCTGGTCTTTTAAATCAGAAACTGATTTAAATCAGTTTCTGGTCATTATAAATATCACGAATACACATCAAATAGTTTTCTGGTTGCAATTTTCTAATTTCGGCTATGTGTAATATATGCTTTGCACATGTGCGCATTGAAAGAAATGTTTAATAAATTAAACAAATAAATATAAGCTTTTTTTTTGTAAAATTTGATACCATTTAGATCATAATTGCTTTTTATTTCATAAATTACAATTTCATATTTTTAATTGTATAATTTCTGCATGTCATCTTACGAGATTTAATCTGATGATCTATAATTCGGAAAAACCCCTAATCGCCGAAGTCCTGACGAGTCCGGATTACGAACCTTGTACTGTAGTATATAGGTAGTTAAATTGTGTTATAATATATGACATATATAACCATAATATTGACAGTTAAACTTGATAAAAACAAAGTTTATATTTAGCAAAGAAGTATTATATTTTTTCGCTTACCAAAATTTCAAAAGGTTGCTAAATTTTTGTAATCCAAAAGCTTCCTTTTCAGCTGTTCTTTTTAATTCATTTGTAGCAGAGTTGATTTTAACTGATAATATTCTCTCTGAATGTATGAAGTTCTTTTTTTTTTTTTTTTAAACCAATCTGAAATTTAAGATTAGATCTTTTAAGAACTTTTTTTCAAAACTTCATTCAAATAATTTCACCATTCTTGATTTGAGGGCAGTAATACTAGTGAAGAAAGAAAAGGAAACATACAAGAAAATACTCTATTTCTTTCTGAGAAAGTAGAGTTTCATGAATTGTATTGCTGAATTTTATATCTAAAATTATGAATAAACAAATAAAAGCTAGGTAAAAATATAATTACGGGTGCCAGTTGGCGATTTTTCGCGGTACATGGATACTGAGTTTGTGCAATTCTTTGACTTGTGTAGCAGCAAATTTTGGCACAAAAATCTACACACACAAAATAACAAGAATTGCACAAACTCGGTGTCCATGTACACATGGACCTGTTTTCACTTGAAAAAAAAATTGGAGAATCGTACAAACAGGCATTGCACACTCCCTTGACTTTGTCCATGTACAGATCGAACTATATTCACTTAAATGTCAAAGGAGCATCCAACAAAAAATATGTAATCTCAATAAACTGCATTTTAAATGAAACAATGAAATAACATAAAAAAGGAAAATCATCTTTGCACTACACAATGGAAATATTCACTTATATTATTTATGAATTAACGTGTCTTCAGTCAAACAAAATTCCTTAACAGCATCCAAAAACTTCCTAGAATTATCTGAACTAGAATCTGTAGACTGGCATCGCCACATAAATTCACAAAATAAGAGTAAAAAATATCCTCCATGCAGTTATCGTTCGACCTACGCATTTCCTTCCTACAAACAGGACACTTAATAATGGCTACTAAGTAAACCTTCATTTACACACCAGTCAATTAGTCCTCTCTTCCCCTTTCTTTCCAAATCGTACAGAACTTCAAATTAATCTTACCACATTCAGCCATTTTACTGTCTAAACCACAAAACAAGCAATGTACTTCCCTAACCAACACATACCACAAGACCTTACAAATCTTTTCCCATAATTTAAAATTTACTGCAATCATGCAACCTATTACGCCATAATATAATAGGGTTTCTATAATATTCAACTACTCAGGTTACCATAAGTGAAAAAACAACTTGTCGATAATACAAGGGTCACACTTCAATCTACTCTAACCAAAAGCTACATTAGCAAAATCATCTTTGAATTTCAGAGATGGTTTTGTTAATATAAATTAATAAGTCAGTTTTTGATTTGACTCTGAGTGAAGATCAATACTTCAGAAATAGTCATTTTATTTTCCTTGAAATTTTAATCCCTGTTGTGGGTGCTCAAAATGAGCAAAGTATTAAATACTAAAGATAGGCGAACTCTTATGTCAGACCTACAACCAAACAGTATTGGTTACAGAGTACCTTTTTAAAGCATTACAGTAACCTCCATGTCATCAAAATGAAATTGAAACAAATAGGAGGACAACATTATCTAAAAGACCAGAGAAACTACTTTAGGGGTTAAAGAAGAAATTAGATAAGAGGTTTCCACTGTTTAAGAGTGGCTGCACCCACAAAGAAGCAAGTGTCTTCTGCAGTGAGGCACTTGAACAGAACTTGAAAGTGGGTTAACAACTGGCACTTGCCATGTAAAAGGTTGCTATAGAAGCAAGCTGGGAGGAAAAGTAGTGAACAAATCTTCAGGAAAAGTAAGGTATCACAGTAAACCTGAGGTTTCTCTAATACTTTGGTGGCCTTAAGAAAAGGGAAAAGGTCAATAAACCTACAGTCTATAGAACGGACTTGCGGGGAGTTCGCTATTCTGCAGAAAACGGATGTTTCTAAAGTATAAATAAGTTTAATGAAAAAATTTAAATAACATGAATATTTGGGAGTTCAATGAAGATTTATTTGATCTAAATAAATGAATATAGTAATGTTAATATAAAATAGTTAAATTAAAAGCTAAGATACAATCAAATAGGAATTCATAGTGCTGATTTACAAATTTATGTAAAAGTTACTAAAGTTGATTCTTTGAAAAAGTGAAATTAAAATTAATTGTAGGTCAAAATTAGGAATTTAAATTTTAAGTTGTCTGGCATGGCCTGTCTAAGGAGAGGCCTAGGTAAAGAGTAAGGTTAAATCCTGTGTGTAGCATGGGGCAAATACTGACAACTGGGCTAGATTTATGTGTAGGGGGAGGAGAAATAATTATGGAGGTTGCCGGGTTAGGCCTGTCGATTTTGATAGTTTTGATAGTAACCGTAGTCAAAGAAGCAAGCCCTTTTTGGCTTTCAAGGGAAGATGTTAAAGGTTCTGTCCATGACAGACCTAGCTCGCTAGACAGAGCTGGCTTCTGCCGAATAATAAACAAGAATTACGTGTAAGATATGATTATCTGTTTGCAAAATATGCTGGAAAAATTTAGCTAAATTTTGCCAAAAATTGGCATCTAAGTGTTTTTGGATGTCAGAATGGAGCACTTTGTTCCATATGCACCAAAGAGCATTAGATAGTATCCAGAGTGTAATGTTCTGAAAGACTTGAATTTTCTTCAGATGAGATTTGGCTGCAGTTAACCATATGGAATCTGTATAGGTGAGGATGGGTCGGATTGTAGAGTAGTTTATTCTTTAGAGAGAGACATGACTATTGCTTGAGATGAGCTTCATAAGTTGGGTGTGTACATTTTCTTTCTGGCTTTGGAAAGTCCACGGTTCATGTGGATCTTCCAGAAAAGTTTGGCATTCAAGATGTACTCTTAGGTACTTGTAAGATTCCACCCAAAGTACTTCTTCATAGAGCTTGAGTGTTTGAAGTTGACTGTGGACATTCCTTTTTCTGGAGAATATGGTGGTGGTGGTACACTTGGCAACATTAATTTTGATTTTCCAATGAATAAGTAAGGTCTCTAAATCTGACAGGTACTACTGAAGATATACAAGAGTAAGGTGCATTTAAAAAAGCTGAGAGATGTCTATATTATTCTAATAAAGTACAAGATTGACACTTGGTGTTTGTGATAACTTATTGACATACAGGTTGAAAAAGCTTGGGTCAAGTAAACTACCTCAAGGCACACCAACTAGGATAAGGCAGAGGCTAGAGAATGTGTAATTCACTCTTAACAGAGAAATGTTGATTAGTGACATAGGAGTGCATTAGGTGCAAAACGTCAGCTGAAATACGAAGTTGCATGGGCTTGTAAAAGATTGGTATGCCACCACATGTCGAAAGCCTTAGCTTTAAATAGTTGGCTTTCCATTGCGAGAGCCTGGGATAATGATTCCAGCTACTCTCAGCAGCTGGGCCTGAGTGGAATGTTGAGTGCAAAAGTGAAATTGTGGCAGAATCAAAATATTTTATGGTTGGCAGAGATCATTCAGGCATCTAAGCAATATATTTTCATAAATTTTCCAAAGTGAAGAGAGGAGGCTGATCAGTTGGTAATTTTGAGGGAACTTAGGATCCTCTCCTGATTTTAGAATAAGAATGACACAAGTGTTCATCCAGCTGGTAGTAAAATATTTTAGCCTTTGCATGGAGTTAACCAAAATTACAAGGTAAAAAAATTAATTTAACAAACAGATTTTTAATCATGCAATTAGAAGTATTATCCAAATCTTATTTTTTTAATCAGAGCCAAACATGATACATATTATCATTCTGAAAATTAACCAATTTTTTTTTTATGTAGAACTTTTATATTTTATGTATGGTAAATATCATTTCTTGATTCATTAGTTTGCTATTATAATTTTTGCTAACATGATCATTTAGTTATTTTGAATTTTCTCTTTGTAATTTAGATAGAATTCATCTGCTCGCTAATTACCTTGATCCAGGTAAGTACATTAAAGTGTGTTTTTTTATAATGGTTAAAGTGTTTTTTTTTAATAATTGTAAATAAATTATTTATCAGACAAAATAAAAAGTGCATATATTATAATTTTATATATATAATTAAACATGTAAAATAATGCATTTTTTATTTTGTTTGATAAGTATTTTATTTACAATATTAGTAACGTGTTTAGAATTTTACAGGTTGAAATATAAAGGGCAAAAGTATACAACAGTAATTTTAGTTACTGCATGACATGATATTATATGAGTATTTCTTAAACCGATGCTTAAATAATGTGATTCTAGAGCAATAAAATAAGTCATCATCAAAGGAATTTTACAGTGTAATTGAAATGGATTGTTATGAAAAGTGGTATGTCATCAAATGACTAGTTGGACTAAAGTAATTCTTGTTTTGATAATGTGTAATTTTCACTGAACATTTAAAAATATGAAAAGAAATTATGTTATGCCTGTTTTGAAATCATATATTATTCAAGTGTAGTTGTTTATTTACATGATCACATGAACTGAAGCATGGGTTGTATCTTCTCTATATGAGTATCTGTTCTCATTGCCTTGAATATATTTTTATGTAACAGCTATAAGTAACATTAAGCTAAATGTACACTACAGCATAAACTTTAAGGCAGAAGCTGCATCTTTGACTTAAGTAAAAGTGTAATAATAAATTGCTCCAAATTCAGTGGTAAACAATGGACACTTGCTTCTTTCGTCTGCATGTGATAAGGAGACTGCATGCAGATAGGGAAGAATTTGTCCATTTTATCATATTGTGGGAAGAAAGAATGAGGAAAAGTTCTCTTTTCTGAAAATTAATTCCAGAAATTAACCCTATACCTATTTTCTTTGAACATGTATATTCAGGTACCTTTTTTGAATGCGAGCTTCTTGTGCCAAAACTCATTCAAGTAACTAATTTAAATACCCATTTAAATATTCAATATTTTCTATTTATATGCACTACTTCTGAAAGGTAATAACAATGCAGCATGCTTTGATGGTTATTCCGGCATTCAGCAGGAATTTTTCCTGCTCTTACTGGAACCTCAAGCAGGGTTCGTACGATTCTTAAAGAGTCCTTAAAAATCCTGAAGTTTTTTGGAATCGATTTTTGGTCCTTAAAAGTCCTTAATTTCAGCCAAAATTGTCAGAAGGTCCTTAATTTTTAATCATCTGAAATTTCTGACTGTTTTTACGACTGCCATTTTGAGTGTGAATTAGCATTTTGGAGGAATATTTTTGGCAATTCTCTGACAAAATATCGTTATCTTTTGAATGGGTGAATGCGTTCATCTGTTATAATTTGTTCCTATTTCTAATATAAAGGGTGGGATAGAGTTTCTGAGCAAGTGTGAAACATAAAGCATTCAAAATTATTTCATTTTTTCTAGTGAAGAGCTCTTAAACAACTTTTCGCTTTTGGGGATGTGAATTCTTTTATTAAATTGCTCTAAATTTGGCGATGTATCAACATTGGCGATTTTAAGATTAGTTTCTATTGAAAATTTTTAATTCCGAGATCTGGGAAATTTTCGAGGATTTTTTTAAAACATTGTCACATGTTCACTTACAGTGTTATAACTGCAATTTTAACAGTAGAATTCAATAAAATATATACAGAATATGCTTATGTGGCATGTCTAAATTATGTACAGTATCTCCAATGCAATAGACAATTCATACAGTGGAAAAAACACTCATGTGCTAGGAAATTATGCAAAGCCATAAAACATTCTTTACCATAGTGTCCAATCAGTCTTTAACAGCTAGTCATGTGTGCATTCACTATAACAGAAATTTAGTTTCTAGGTTAGGAAAACTAAAATATGTACAGAAAGTGGGCAGATGACTTATCAATTTAACATGAAATTTATGTTTAATGTGATGGTGCTAATTAAATAATCCTTTAGTAACTTATAATAGCTCAGTTCAAGATAGCCTGAATGTGATTTTTTTTTTTACCTAGCAGCAATGCAATTTGTTGACAGTCAACCTGACATTTGGCTGGCGTCATCAAGAATCTCGTAGTCTAGAACACTTTCAAAGCTTGCAAGGTTATTTTTGCGAGAGGTGTTATCAAAGAACTTGAACAATGGAGATAATTGACTGAATGGATCTTCAAGTCTGCATGAATACTGCTCTATCTGACATAAAAGGAAGTTCTAGTAAGGATTCTTAGAATCTTGTTGTGTGGTCTCTGAAGTACCAGGATGCCTTTTTCGCTTGCATTTGCCCATATAAGAGATGCATATGTAAAAATAAGTCTGATGACCGAGATGTAAATTTATTTCTTCCTGTTTAATGAGAGCAGTTGATTTTTGGGGAGTGGGAAAATTTAAATTGTGATTCCAAGTGCCAAAACTGAATTATGAGATCTCCAACATAGCTATTTCTGGTACTAGAAATGATGCCACCTTGTTTGATGGAGAAAATTTTATGTTTGAGAAATAAATTGAGCATGCTGTGCTGCCAAAATGTATTTATGTGGCAACTGAGGTATTAACATACACATATCAGATGAGCCCTGATATCCAACTGCAAATTAGTCTGTCTGTGTTTGTTTTTGTTTCATTTAATGCATTCTTTTTTTTCTTATAAGGAATTGTAATGGTAGTCTCGAAAAGTTCATTGACCAGTGACATGCTCTGTGCATTTTTAAGAAAGAGCCATTCATTGCCGCACGACTCTACTTAAGAACTCTTTCTTCCTTCCTAAAGGACAGTTCCCTTCCTAAATTGTTCTTCTACCATGGCCTTTTAAAACCATTTATTTTGTGAGCAAAATTTGACTGCTATTCTTTCTAGTTAGCTGATCACTGACTCCTTTTATTCATTTAATTTAGTGAGTTCCCCCTTCATCTCCCCAGATCCAAAGCACTTGCAGTGTCAAGTTGTTTCTTGTTAGTTGTTTGCTGTTCATGTGTTTGTTTATACCACAAAGATGCTGAAAGATTAAGGAATTCTAACTTTTATATTTCTATTCTAAATTCGATAATTGTATTCCTTCAAAATTGGTACTGGTTCTTAAATTTCAACTCAAAATTTATATAAAAAGTCCTTCAGTGTTTTAGCCTTTTTTCACTGTAGGAGGTAATTCTTTTAAAATAATTTAATTTGGCTTTCAAAATTTTTACCCTATTTGATGAATCCTTCTTTTGAAGTAAATTTTTAATTCTTTGATGATATGGAGATAAAGGCTTCATGCCCAGGTATTCCTTAATTACTGTAGTTAATGATTCCTTCCATGATTGGAAAAGTGGAATTTGCAAACTGATGAAAAAGAAAGCATTGCATTCCTTCAGAAATATGGCATTTTGCTTAACAGTAGAGAATATAAAAATTCTCATTCTGGGAAGTTGTATTTTGTAAACAATGAAATATTATTGATATTTGTGCAATTCTCTAATTTTTTTTGGGAAGGGGGCTAAAAAACAGATCACTGTCTCGATGGGGAGAATGACAGTATGCACAGAGCTAAGCTGAATGTGATAGTGAGTTTTTGCAGTTTTTATTTTGGCAAAAAATTAGTCAAAAATAGTATGTGGCTTTTCTGGGACATATTGTAGATAATCCTAAAATACCAAATATTCTTTTGATGTAGCATATTCATAATTTCCTTTCTTAATGTCAGATGCATTCTGATAAAACTTCTAAAATTATGAATTCTAAATTTATGAGAGTAGTCGTAAGTTTTATTTGTGTGTGGATGTATTTTAAAATAATGACTTACTTCTTAATGTTATTGTCAGAAAATAAAATTTTAGAAATAACATCTCGTGTAAGTATTAAATTTACAAGTGCGACTCTATAAAGACATGTTGTGACTGATATTCTGTATAACTTCTTTGATGTTGTTAATAATTTTTTTGTCATATCATGTATATGGTTTGATTAGCAAATAAGGTTAATTAATAATTCAAAGAAATTAATAAATATTTTTATAGGAATGTCTGGTCATTCAGAACGGTCATTTTCCATGTCTACTAGTGGTAGTAGTTCACCTTTACCTTCACCTATTCCAAAATACTATGGTGGAAATACTGCTGTAGCCAAGCGATCCAAATTTTTGCGCAGATTGATCTATTTCAAGCATATGGATTTTGAATTTGCTTTGTGGCAAATGTTTAGTCTTTTTGTTGCACCACAGAAAGTGTAAGAAATTTCATCTTTATATTTATAAAATCTTATAATTAATTTTTTAAAAATTTTGATATTCAAATTTTGCACAGATTTTGCTGTATGTTTTAAAAATGCAAGTAATGAATAAATTTTATGTAAAAATATAATTTACTTCATTTAAAGATAAATTCATGTCATTTTCAAAATACTACTTTTCATTAAACATGAAAATACAAAATTTTAAGGCACTTATTATCACAGTCCCCTATTTTTTAAACAGCCCCAAGATTATCAATAAAAAATTGGCATTGCAAACCACCTTCAAATCGCTAGCAGCTTTAATGCATTTACAATCTGCTTGTGACGAGGAGAGCTTTAAATAAACCACCTATCATATTTTCTTTCTCACTATAAATAATAGCAATTCACAATGACTCGTATTTTTGTCATCATGAAAAAAGTTCTGAGTATTTGACATGTTAACTTATTTTCTTTTTTAAAGAAAAAATTTCAAAAAGTTTTATTTACCAAGAAATGAGAAAGATGCTATGTAATTCTTCCAAAAATGATGCATTTTATCTTGCATTCAAATATGCATACATAGCCATTCGATAAAATTACTTATCAATTGGTGTAGTTTGAAAAACTGTAAGTAAAAGAACAGCATAAACTTTATGATTAGTTCAGTGGTTTCAGAATACTGTTTATTAGAGTACAACTGTGCAGTACTTAATGTACTGTCAAGTGAAAAAACAGATGTTGGTTAATGATGGAAGAAGTAACTCAGCCTTTATGAAATGCATCTGTTGACTGAAACAGTTCATGAGAGATGCAAAATCAAGTATAAACAAATAGATGACCATGAAAAAATTATGGACATAAATGATAGTCTTTTTATATGGCCAAAAAAAGAGAGGGGCTGCTAGTGTTCTTCCACAGTACTGGATATTTGGTGGGTTATGCCAAGAAGTGGTGAATTCCTTCTCAATCAGTTTATGAATAGAAAGAAGACACATTAACCAACTATGTACAGGAGGATGGTTTATTCAGACTACTGGTGAGATTGCAAAACAGAGGAACTGGAAAAAGCAGGTTAGAGGTATTTTGCTGTGAACCATCAATTTCATTGTGTTCATCTAACACAGATGCTCATACCCAGAGTGTTAAAAGACTGTGACACTCTGCTAAGCGGAGGAAGAAAAATTGATAAGGCATGGTTCACCTGCAGCATGAGTCTTTACCCTGCAGAGTTCATGTGGTGAAAGTTCTTGGGGCAAGAAATTGCTTCTGATGCCATCTTAACCCGGCAGAAGGCGCGCACCCAACACTGACGTTGGAGATCGCGCGGGGTGACAGCGTCACCCCAATCAGTTTCATTAGGAAAATGTGTTATATATTTTATAGAAATCATTTGATTATAAACAATAATTGCAATATTTCATTTAGAAACTATACTTCTTTACTTAAAAAACTTATTTCAATATTTAAGAAAAAAATCCATTCAAAATAAGTATATACCTAATCAGGAGTCAGAAGCTAACATACACTTCTGGCAAACATAGGAAGAATGAATTTTACATGAAAAATTATCACATATTTTGCAAGAAATTGTAGTTTTATTGTCTTTGGATCGTGGACACATAGCACGTCGGCCTTTGTCGAGTTTTGGTTTCTTTGATGGGGCGTTCTTCTGATACACTAGAAGTCGCATTATCAATGCTTTCACGAACCACTTTAGGAAACATATTGACATATTTTTTGTAATCTCTATGTAAGGCACTGTATAAGGGATATAGCCAAATTTTTTAGGAATTTTCTACTATTTCCATATCGTAAGGGAGGGGTCTTTGTTGGGAATAAAGCAACTCGGGTATTTATTGCAGTGACGTTCAACACAGTAAAAGACGACCATCGGCCATCGCAATGCATTGTAGATAACAAAACTACACATTTTGATTTTTTAGGCACGTACGATACTATTGTCGCGTTCTTTTAGAACCCAAATATAGATAAATAACCGTTCCTAGTTTTTGTTTGGACGAACTTGGTGGGAATTTCAGCCTTGTTTCTGTTCAGGGTTCCTACAATAGTTAACTTCTTTGACAAAAGTTCTTTTGCTAGAGGATAACTCGTACACCAATTATCCATTGTTACATTTCTGACCAAACAAAGGGGGGCACAGGCATTTTGTAATTTCAAATGAAGAATTTTCAAATCTAAAGGGACCTTCCGACTGTTGTCTTGCGTATATCTCCATGTCATAGCTGCAAAGTTCTTGAATCTACTAAGGCAAATATTTTGATTCCATACTTCGATGGGTTGCTGGGTATATATTGACGAAAGGAACACTGCTCTCGAAATTTCTCTAATTTTTCTTTGATAGTAACATATTTACCAATAAGGTATATCTTTTGGCAATTTTCTTTGAAATCGGTAAAAAATTCTCTCGCAGCCGCCAGTTTGTCCAATTTTTTCCGAGCTTCACGATTAGTCACATTGTCTAATCGTAGACACCGGAGAAGAAATTTAAATCTTTTATATGACATTGTGTTCCGTAAAATTGCAATGCCTGTTTCAATTTTCAGTAGCCCATAAATCTTGCATATTTTTATGTGACGATTTATGCAAGCCGTACAGATGTAAAAGCCCAAAAAGTGCTCTAATTTCCACGTCATTTGTCGTGATATTTTTTCAATATAAATATTTGTACACTCTACAATGTATTGTATCATTTTAGCATTGAAACAATTCTCAACTTTCTAGGAGCTCCGTTATATTGCGTGCAGTTTCTTTTAATCCTGCTAAATGGGTTATTATAATTTGAGAAGACCTTTTTCACTTTTTGATATGGTTTTCCATTCCGCCAAACTCTTATTTTTGCTAATAAAAATACTTTTTACTAAATCAGGATTTCCGTCGTCTTCATCATTCTGCTCAAATTCTCTTTCGCTGTTGTAAGAACTGTATATTTCTTTATCAGATTCATTTTTACTATCTTGATCAATTTCTCCTTCAGAAGACTCAACTTCATCTAATACAGTTCTCAAACATTCCATCTCATTTTCATGTTCGGTAAATTTACGTTTGTAAACCATTATCTATCAAATAATCCAACAGAACCACAACTGCAACACTCGAGAGCACGAAGCTAAACTTCTACTAATGAAAAATTTTGAAGCAGTAACGGTCGCACGGTGTGACTCGGTCACCCCATTCCCTCATGGATTTCAAGAAACGATTGCTTCTCTCACAGAAAAAGAAAAACAAGCAAAAATAACAATACACATTCCAAGGGGAGTGTCAAACAGGAGGATACTAAAAGGATGATTCATTAAAATGAAATATTTCCGGTTAGGATTGTTGATTTTTGACGCATGGGGTGACTCTGTGCCCCGCGCAACTTCTCCCGGGTTAAAAGTCATTGCATAAACATAGCAGCCACAAAGTGAGAAGTAAGCACGAACTTTGTGATAATCATGACATCAATTTAACATTTAAGGAAGGGGGCCCTGTAATAATAAGAAGACACAAATTTTAATTACTTAAGTGAGTATTTCCCCTTTCTTTTAATTGGTTTACATTATGTCTGTAGATACTTATATGAGCAAAATGTTTCAAAAGCTGTAATGTCTATGCTGTATTACCAGGTTTGTGATAAATATATGCAGAAAATAGTAGTTGGAATGATACTGTAAAAATAATCTCTAAAATTTGCATAAAATTAGAATCTATAGAAGTTTTGAAGAAAAGCTAAAATATATAAAACTCATATTTAAGTTATAAAATGCAAATAAATTGCATAAATCATAAAAGGGAACAACAACCTGTGTTAGGCATAGATTTTGAGCATTGAAACTGTCGATTTCGAAGGCGAACAAAGTCTCTGTTCATTAGAAGCAAAGTAATCTGCAACTGAAAATCAAGTTAAGAACATATTTATACTCTAAGGAAGTCGAGAGATGAGAGAGTAGTGCCATCTGTTAGTAGAAATAATAACGAAAATTGAAAAATTAGAATAATAGATATTTAAAAGCATTAGGTAGAATTGGATTAAAATCATTAAGTAAACATGGTAAATTTTTGTAGATGTGAAAAGTTTCAAGAAAATCTAATTCTCCAGTGAAAGAAGCTTTCTAGATAATTTTTGCAGGCTCAAAGTCGAAATTGTGATTAAATTTCTGACTATGATTAGCAATTGAAGACTTGCAAATATCACGTTTTTGGACATAAGATTCATGTTCCTTAATGCTCGTTTGGTTCGGCCAATGTATTTTGAGCCGCACTGACAAGATATGCTATAAATTCTTCAAGAACTGAAGTCAGAAATAATATCTTTAAGAACTGAACCATGGATTTTTATTGATAGGGAAGAAAATTATTTGAAAATTGAATTTTTGGAGAATTCTTGTAATTTTTTAACTGGCAGAAGGATGAAAGGGAAGCATAACTAGGTGATTAACATTATTTCTAACTATGAAATGTTTTCTTGGATGGAAAAAGGAAAAATTGCAGTTTTACAAAATTGAGTTCAATTTTCAACTCGTTTTCTTGCCTATCAATAAAATCCATAGTTCAGTTCTTAAGGATACTATTTTTGACTTCAATTCTTGGGGAATTTATAGCATATCTTGTCAGTGTGGTTCGCAATATATCGACTGAACTAAAAGAGCATTAAGGAACATGAATCTTTTGTTTGAAAAGGTGAAATTTATGAGTCTTCGATTGCTAATCATAGTTGGAAATTTTATTCACACTTTCGACTTTTGGTCTGCAAAAATTAGCCAGAAAGCTTCTTCCACTGGAGAATTAGATTTTTTTGAAACTTTTCACATTCAAAAAAATTTACTGTGTTTAATTAATCATTTTAATCCAATCCTACTTTATGCTTTTAAATCTCTATTATTCTAAATTTTAAATTTTCGTTATTCTTTCTTCTAACAGATGACGCTACTCTCTCCTCTCTGCCAACTTCCTTAGGGTATAAATATGTTCGTAATCTGGTTTTTCAGTTGCAGATTTCTTTGTTCCTGTTGAAGAGGGACTTTGTTCGCCTTCGAAATCGATAATGCTAAAAAGCTATACCTAACACAGGATGTTGCTTCATTTTTATGATTTATTTGAGGTGTGTTACTCTTCTGTCTTGGAAATTGCATAAAACATGTAATGTTTATGTTAACTGTAATTTAACTTTTTGATGATCATCAACGAGCTCAGCTTGCATTACAGTCAGACACCACAGTGGACTCAAACATGCTTACATTACAAAATTAGGGTTTGTGTATTTGGGAAGAAAGAATTGCTTAATCTTGCAATCACGAAAGGGTTAATTGAAACGAATCATGGTAACAAAGCATTGAATTCAAGAATTTGAATATGAAGGCAATGAATTCAAGAATTTGAATATGAAGGAATGTGTAAAACTGTAAAAATGACAGGAGAAAGGAAATTAAAATGTAATTGTGATAAAAGATTTCACATGTTGTTGTTTGAAGTACTGCTGTTGCTCATCTCTAGAAGTAACTTTGTTCACATTTTATGTTATTGAAGAGCAAAAATTTAACTATGGTCCAATTTTATATCCATGTTCTAGACTGAAAACCTTTATACAGAATTTTCATAAATACTAGGCAAAATAACAATAGCATGTTCTAATTACCATGTTGAAAATCAGAGTTCCTCCCTCTTAGTCTGCCCCTTTTATACACTTTGCTTCATAAATAAAGGAACATATTTTTGAAAACAAAATTCTTTACATGAAAATTTAAATAAAACATTTAAGACACTCATCTAAAAATGTATATAGCATTTATATAAACCAATTTTTGTATGCTTTCTTTTTGCTGCTACTTAATAGCATTTAAAAATTTTTAAATCTTGATATATTGAACCTTTCTCACCCAATAAAAAAATATTACGTCAAGAAAAAAGAAAAAAATTTTAAATTGAAATATTATTAGGTTTGTTATTTGCTATTATTCACTAAACTGTTTAATATTGTGGAGTTATATATATATATATATATAAAACTGTTTTAAGTCCTAATACATGTTTGTGTGTATATTGTCTATAAACCTGCATGTTTGTGTATACTCAGTCTTTATTGAATTCTCATCCTTTACCTAATACTTTGACATAAAAGATGGCCTAAATGTATCATGCATGGATATCTCCAGGTGTTAATATGTATCTTAAGAGAGTTTTGATCCCATATATACTGTATAGCAACCTATAACAAACATATACAGTATAAAGTCTTTAATCCAGACGTCCATAATCCGGAATGATCTATAATCTGGACCCCAAAGCTGCCCATGCGTAGCGTTTACACATGCACATAATACTTTATGCATGCGCATATGCATTTACGCATGCACGTTTAATGTATAATGGACTGTATAAGCTAGGCTAAAATTATATAATTATCTATTTCAGTTAATGTTGCAGATTGCATTGTTCCTTAATCTTCTAATTGGATCCGGCTTATTATTTTTTGCAGACTGTTAGGGCAATTTTAGAAAAAGTAAGCTTGAACTTTTGATTATGTCAAAAAGAGTTTCCGATTCTGGAGCTGCCAAAGGATCTACAAAGCGAAAGCATGTTTTGATGTACTGCTTCCGATAATGAAGAAAGTGACAGAGAGGTTATTGAAAACGAAAAAATTTTGATTGACAACTTAGTTAGTATTCTCGACACAAGCAATTACAGGACTTGATCTGTGGAACTGAACAAGAAATTATGTCTGTTTATAGAGTTAAAGAGAAAATATTAGCACAAAAAATAAAGCAACTTAAACAACTTACATTGAAAGAAATGTAATAAAGTAAACAAATAAATATTAAGCTTTTTCTTTTGTAAATTTTGATACCCTTTAGATCATAATTGTTCTTTATTTCATAAATTACGGTTTCATATTTTTAATTTTATAATTTCTGCATGCCATCTTACCAGATTTAAAGTGATGATCTGTAATCCAGAAAAACCCTTAATTCGGAATCGCTGAAGTCCCGACGAGTCCAGATTAAAGACTTTGTACTGTATGTGTTAGTGCAGCATTCTTGATGTTAAGAGTTTATTTTACAGTATCTCATAACCACCATATTAGATTATGATCTAGGTAACTAGGGGGCTAATTCATATGCATCTCTGTAAGAGTCTTTTCAGTTAATCAAGTATAATTGCTCCTTGATGGCACAGAATATGTAAGAGTCTTTTGGGCAAAAAGGTTGCATCGTAAGATACATGCGGTTTTTCTAACATAGTTGATACTGTACAAAGTCCGTAATCCAGACTCGTCGGGACTTCGGCGATTCCGAATTAGGGGTTTTTCCATATTATAGATCATCAGTTTAAATCTGGTATGATGTTGTGAAGAAATTATAGAATTAAATATATGAAACCATAATTTATGAAATAAAGAGCAATTATGATCTTAAAGGGTATCAAAATTTACAAAAAAAAAAAAAAAAAAAAAAAAAAAGCTTAATATTTATTTGTTTACTTTATTAAACATTTCTTTTTATGTAAGTTGTTTCGTTTTTTGTGCTAATACTTTCTCTTTAATTCTCTCTTCTATGAACAGACATAATTTCTTGTTCAGTTACAAAGTTTCACTGTTCAAATCCTGTAATTGCTGTGTCAAGAATACCGACTAATTTGTCAATCGAAATTTTTTAGTTTTCAATAACCTCTCTGTCACTTTCTTTACTATCAGAAGCGTACATACGTAGCGGACGCGCGCATCAAACGCACGTGCGTAAGTTTGTGGCTTTGAGGTCCGGATTATAGATCATTCCGGATTACGGACTTTGTACTGTATTACATGATAGCAAATGAATTACAATGATCCCTTAGTGAGCTTAATAAACTGAATTTTTTGATTTAATAGGCTCAATTTTCAAAATTAAACTAAAGCAGTTTTCATAAATTTTAAATAAGGTTAAAACTTTTATATAAATTAAGAAAACTTGTTTATATAGGAAACTAGAAAGGAATAATAATATAAATTGTGTTACAAACTGATATCAATAATTCTCTCAGATCCAATGACTGATAGGTTAATTTCATTTATATAGGTTATATATATACAGTCAAAAGTCGTTAATCCAGACTCGTCGAGACTTCGGCGATTCCGGATTATCGATTTTTCTGGATTATAGATCATCAGTTTAAATCTGGTAAGATGGCATGCAGAAATTCTAAAATTAAAAATATGAAACCGTAATTTATGAAATAAAGAACAACTATGATCTAAAGAGTATCAAAATTTACAAAAAAAAAAAAAAAAAAAAAAAAAAAGCTTAATATTTATTTGTTTACTTTATTAAACATTTCTCTCAATGTAAGTTGTTTAAGTTGCTTCATTTTATGTGATAATACTTTCTCTTTAATTCTATAAAAAGACATAATTTCTTGTTCAGTTACAAAGTTCCGCTGTTCAAGTCCCGTTAATTGCTGTGCCGAGAATACCGACTAACTTGTCAATCGAAATTTTTTCATTTTCACTAACCTCTCTGTCACATTCTTCATGTCTTTATCCATTTTTTGCAGCAATTCCACTTTTTGTTTGTTGGACATCGAAACATACTTTCGTTTTGTAGATCCTTTGGAAGTTCCAGCATCGGAAATTCTATTTGACATAATCGAAAGTTCAAGTTTACTTTTATAAAATTGCTCTTACAGTCTGCAAAAAATAATAAGCGGGATCCAATTCGAAGATTAAGGAACAACACAATCATTAACATTAACTGAAATTGGTAATTAGATAATTTTGGCTTACACCGTCCGTTATACATTAAACGCGCAGGCGAAAACGTAATCTGCACTTGCGCACACGCATATGCGCAGTAGTCAAGATCTTACGCGCACGCGTAAAATGCCTGTGCGTTGGCACATGCGCAGAAAGTTTTTAGCTTTGAGGTCCGGATTATAGATCATTCCGGATTATGGGTGTCCGAATTAACGACTTTTGACTGTATATATATAACAATTTATTTACTAAAGAAATATTTATTATATTATCTATTATTAATTAAAAATGCACTGTAAATCCATTGCATTATTAAATTAATATTAATTTTAGTTCGAACCTAGAGAATTTAAGATCATACAGAATTATATATATATTTATGAAGAAAGGCATTTGCAGGATTAAAAAAAGGATTGGCATTGCATTTTAAGCTATTCAGTTTTTGAGAATATTCTGATTCCTGACGCAGCAAATCAGTAGTTGGTGTGCCTATTAAGTATGGTTTTGTGTAAATAAAAATAATATAATAGTAATTATGTAGAGAAAAATATTAACTCAAGAGGTTACTGAACTTTTTTTTTTCCCCCTTAATTTAGGTATAGAAACTTCCAATATAGAAAACGTAAGTAACTTGATAGACTATGCTTTTATTTTTCCTATAAGTGCATTTTGTATGAAATCTGTGTCTTAAAACCAACATTTCAGAAATTTAAAAAACCCACAATGTGGCCCGAATCTATAATATTAACATAGACTCCAACTACTACGGATTCTCCGTAGTTTCTACGGAAATTCATGAAAAACTACGAGCTATGAAAAGTATGGAAAAACTACGGATTTTACAGAAACAAGAGCAGGAAAACCAGTACGCAAAACGGAACCAACTAATTCATCCGATGATTGCTGAATACCCGTGTTATCATATATCACGTGTTGAGTGCGTTCCTAGTTTTGAAGAATTAGCCAATCGTAGATCAGTAACTCCAACCGTTAACGACTTATCAATAGTTCCACCCAATTGTCTGTCTCCCAGGTTCCTCGCTGATGCGTGTTTAGGCTGCATTCGGCTGCATTGTGTAGTTTACGGCGAGAGCTTAGCGTGTGTCTTGTGAACTGTGAATCAGGTGAAAGATTTTTAATCATAATGCTGCTCGAACGAAGAACGAAGAAGCCAAAATTATCAAAGCAGAAGTTTAAAGATTCATATTCTTCAGAATTTCCATGCATTAAAGCGTCCGAAATTTCTGTGAATCACGCACACTGCAGTGTATGCAACAAAGACTTCTCAGTTGCTCATGGCGGAAAAAATGACTGTAAACGGCATGTGTTTTCTCAAAATCATATAGAACTTGGCACCGTAAAATCTAAAGAAATAACAAATTTCTTAATAAAAGATGATGAAACAGATCCTATAAAAGCCGAATGCTATTTTGTTCGTTTTTTAATTGAACATAATGTACCGCTTTCTGTTTCGGATCATTCCAAAGAGCTTTTCAAAGCAATGTTTCCGGATTCTGCCATAGCAAAAAAATTTAGCTGCGGTCATACCAAAACTGCTGCTATTGTGAAAACGCTTGCAGAAAATACTGTTGCTGATATTATAAAATCAGTGTGCAGTACATCATTTTCTCTAAGTACTGATGGAAGTAATGATAACAATGATAACAAACTGTACCCATTGGTTATAACATACTACAGTAAAGAAAAGGGAGTGATAATTACTTCATTGATTTCTATTTTAGAATGCACGAATAATACAGGAGAAGGTATTTTTAATTGTATAAATGAAAACTTTAAAAACAAAGGTTTAGAATGGAAAAATTGCTTATCATTTTCTTCAGATAATGCTAGTAATATGATTGGAAAGTTTAAAGGTGTAGCATCATTTATCAAAATGCATCAACCAAGTATAATCACCCGAGGTTGTCCGTGCCACCTCTTGCATATAGCTGCAAAAAAAGCTACTGAAAAATTAATTGGCTCAGAAATAGATATATACACAGTCCAATCACATTAATGTGACCACCACGTACTTTCCATGTCAGAGTTAAATAACCAATCACAGAAGGCAGGTGGCAGCACAGTGCAGTTGAGCGTATATAAAGGGTGTGTGAGGGCTTCGGAAAACATTTCAATCGTTGCCGTAATGCAGAAATGAAGCGATTTATCCGACTTCTAAAAGGGCATGATCATTGGCTTTCGGGCCAAGGGTGGAAGCATTTCCGAAACGGCTGAGTTTGTGAACTGTTCGCGTGCCGCCGTGGTAAAAGTGTACCGTGCATGGCAAAATGGGACTGTCCAAAATCAGCGACGTGGCAAATGTGGTGCACCACGGGCCATAGATGACAGAGGCGAACGACGGTTGCGGAGATGCGTTCGGGCGGGCAGATAGACGGGCTACCGTTGAGCAACTGACCACCAAAATGAACCAAGGGGCTACCAAAAGTGTCTCCCAAAGTACTATTCAGCGAACATGCTGTGTCTGGGCCTCCGAAGCAGACGCCTGGTTCGTGCACCTATGCTGACTGCTGTTCATCGACGGCGAAGGCTAGAATTTGCACGCCAGTACAGCAGCTGGACATCCACTGAGTGGCGACAGGTTGCGTTTTCGGATGAATTGCGTTTTATGCTCCATCGGACAGATGGACGTTGGCGTATAAGGCGTGAAACCTCTGAAAGGAACCACCCTGCAACCATTTCCGGAACGGTCCAAGTTGGAGGCGGGAGCATTATGGTCTGGGGAATGTTTTCCTGGCATTCTCTAGGTTCACTGATCATTGTGGAAGGCACAATGGATCAATACAAGTACGCATCTGTCCTTGCGGACCATGTTCACCCCTACATGCGCATTGTTTTTCCTCAGGATGATGGCATCTTCCAGCAGGACAATGCGAGGTGCCATACAGCTGCCAGTGTACGTGCGTGGTTCGAAGAGCACCAGGATGAGTTTATCGTCTTCCCCTGGCCAGCAAACTCACCTGACTTAAACCCAATTGAGCATCTGTGGGACCATCTCGATCGAGTTGTTCGCGCCATGGATCCTCAACCGCGTAATCTAGCGCATCTGGCCACGGCATGGCTCAACATCCCAGAGATCACCTTCAGGGACCTATGTGACTCTCTTCCTGCACGTCTCGCAGCAGTCCGCTCTGCGAAAGGTGGTTATTCTGGCTTTTGACAGATGGACACATTAATGTGACTGGACTGTGTATTTTTACTTGGAAAAAAGTTCGAAACGGAAGCATAGCATCAAAGTTGCTCAACAAATTTTGGGACAGAATGCAAAATCTCATAAAATTTTGAAATATTGCAGTACGAGATGGTTGTCTCTTTTAGAATCTATAACAAGGATTTTGGAACAGTGGGATGCTGTGATAAATTTTTTTGGAGATAAACCAGATAACAGTGAGAATGAAGGAAAGAGATTGCAAAACATTAAAAAAATCTTACAGTCACCGACCACCAAATTGTACTTGTTATTTTTGAAAAATACTTTGCCTTTGTTTATAACAGTAAATATTAATTTGCAACAACAAGCTCCTTATATACATAAATTGAGAAGAGAACTTTTTGAACTTTTAATGAATTTATTTGTTAGATTCGTAAAACCATCAGTAATTTCTAAAGAAAATGAAGATGTTACTCTAACGTCTATTTCATTTCAGAAGTATAGTAAACAAAAGAAAATGAAAATTTAGTGATTGGTGGCGGAAACAAGACTATATTTAAAAAATGCCAAGTTGAATGAAAGTGAAGTGAAATCATTTTTCAATTCTGTGCGAGCTTTTTTGTAACTGCATGTTCATATATAATTGATAAATTTCCACTGAGTGATCCATTTCTAAAACATGCTGAAGTTGCTGACATCAACTTGAGAACTGAAGTCTCATTTTCATCTGTTCTTTACTTGATGAATACTTTTCCATCCATTATTGATGAAAAATGTCTTAATCAAGTAGAAATTGAATTTTCCATGTATCAAGTAGATGATTTGAAAGAAATTGTAGATTTGCGTATTGATATAGCATGGGGAGAAATTGCCAAATTAAAAAATATGAATGGGTGTATTAAATACCAAAGTATTGCCTTCTGTAATGCTTGCTGTCTTAATAATACCTCATTCAAATGCAGCTTGCGAAAGAATTTTTTCTATTGTTAAAAAAAATCAGACGGAATTTCGACCAAATTTAGGTCTTAAAACTCTTGAAGCAGTTTTGATTGAAAAAATAAATATGCAGGCAAATGAAGAACTGTGTTATAAAAAAACATTCTCAAAATCAGAACTTAAGCTTGCTAAGCATGCTACATATAAATCTTTGCATTCATAAATTATGCGTATTTTGTTTAATACTTATATGTATCATTCTTGGTTATTTAAATTTTATTTCCCTGTAGAAATCATGTTCAGAATAAAGATATGATTTATAGCTTCTGATTTTTTCTATGATTAGTAGTGATTTGAAGTACTTTTTATTAGTGAATGCTTGAGGAGTTAAAGGAAAATTTCTAATTAAATGTGCATATAATTTACAAGGTATATTTTTAATTATTCAGTTTTATATGTATATGGATTTTAAATGTAATAAAATTGATTACAATTAATTATTAATTTAAAATTAATGAATGGTTAATTACAACATACGCTATGCGCACATTTTCAAAGTTGTAAAAATGTCGTTCGCGCGTTGACTACTGACAAGGTTTGCTGAAGGTTGGAGTCTATGTATTAAGGCAGTGGTTCCCAAACTGTGCATTGTGGCCTCGTCGTAGGGGCACCCTGAAATATAGTATTCGCTTCATAATTAATTGAACCATGATCTTTGGCCAAACCAATTTTTTTTTTTTTGAGAAGCTAAAAATATGTAGATTTTTTGTGTGTTTTGTTTTTATTTGGCCCTGTATAATACTAAAGTCGCCAGCACATAATATTATTGCGAGTGTGAGATGGCAATGCTGCATAACACGTGCAAGGCTAGAATGACATTTTCATGGCTTGTTCCATAAAAAGAAACCACGAACTTCTCTTTGTATTGTTGTTAAAGTTATTTAGCTCATCAGGTTGTTTGGTTCAGGTTTATGTGTATAGATTGGGGTTATTTGAAAACTGCTTCATAAAAAAGTATTGCTGTAGGAGCGGAGGCTCAGGACCTCTTCGAGATTTTTGATGCATTCATATCTGAAAATAACTTGAATTGTCCTAAGTGCATTGGTGTGTGTATTGATGGAGTTTTCTTCATGTCTGTCTGCTATGGAGGATTACAGCATTTATTCGAAGCAAATTAAAAAATGCACTGTAAATCCATTGCATTATTCATAGAGAAATGCTTCCACTAAAGCATTTGTGTCCTGCACTAAATCAGGTATTTGAATGTGTAGTGAATGTGGTAAACTTTATAAAATCTCATCTATTGAAAGCAAGTTTTTTTTTTTTTTTTTTTTAAAAAAAAAAAACTGTGTGAGAATATGAGAATATGGTAACTGAACACTCGTCTTGGTTGTACTATAGCAGAGCACGATGGCTGTCTTATGTTAATGCTTTATCACGTACCTTTCAATTGCAGTAAGAAATTTGAATTTTTCTTACAGAAGAAAGATATGAAGATTCAGACGATTATGCTGATG